GCTTGCCTGAGCAAGACCAGTACTTTCATTGGCACAGATTGAACTAAAGGAGAAAAGTAAACCAGGCAGCCAAATGTGCATTATCCAGCCATGGATCTCATTTAATGTTTCTACCTAGCTGATAATAAGAAGGAATGGATATTTCAAACAGAGGGGGTAAAAAAAAAAAAAGTGAGCATCCTTAATGACTATAGACTTATTCCTTACAAAATGAACTTTAGAGTTGAGATGCTGAAAGGTGAATAAAATACTTGAGAACTAGAAATTTAAAGGAGTGACACATTTTAAGGTACTCCTAGAGAGAGAGTGAACTGAAGAAAGACTGCAACAAAAATTGCAAATGAAAAGTAGAATAGAGCTGTGGAAAAGTAATAGGATGCTCTGTCACCTGGACATGGTTCAGAGGTGTGGAGATGGAATGACCAATACAGTACCATTGTGAAAGGGTTCAGATTGGTTTACATGGAGACAAGTATCCAAGGCCAAACACTTATTTCTTATCTAATAATACCTTACAACAAGACCTGAGATACATTAGTTTAAGATGCAATAAAGATCCATTTATAATAAAGTTTTAAACATCAATCAATAAAAAAGATTTTCAAGCAGAAGCCTCAGGAGGAAGTACAGCTCTCCATTCAAACTCATTCCAGATGTCAGAGGCAGCTGCACAACATCAGAGAGCAAATCCTCAGAAGACCCTGTGCCAGAAAGGGCATTTGAAGAGTTTGCTTCGTACATTCCAAAAGAAAAAGAGAGTACATATTTATGGGAACTATATAAAAAGTACCGAATTCAAACCCCAAAGGATGAAAGATATTCCAAATTCTTATTATCTCTTATTCTTAATGTATTTAAATCAAAGCATTTTTATTCTCTCTTAATAATTAATTAGATTATTTATCTGCTTAAATAAAGAAAACGACCAGAAAAGTGAGTTAAGTAGATTTAGGTAGAAAATTAATATGAGCATCACATGAAGATATGAACACTACAGAGCAGTATAAGTGTATTAGGCTAGAGTTGCATTCATTTTGATTTCCAACTGGAATGTAACCACATATTAACTAGTCATATTTTCTTTCCTTTAACAGTTAATGTTTTCAGAATGACTTTTACATGAAGAATGTTTGCTTGAAAACAAGGTATTTCACTGAAATTGCATTTGCCTCTCCTACTCCTCCCTTAATGAATACCATTGTGATAAACATATTTAGAGAAATATTGTGAGAATTGGTGTGTTTAAAGAATATCTCTGAAGTCATATCACATACACAGCAGTCATTTTCTCTTCCCTATTCTATCCTAGATAACATTTCAACCTCACCACCACAAAGATACAAATATTAAAGAGAATCCATCAGAGGTGTCACTAACATGGAAGAAAGAGGTGGTATTACTTAGAAACATATCTCTGTGGATGTTCACATTTCATAACCACAGCTACAAAAAAATACCTGAAATCCAGTTCCTTATTTAAGTGAGTTCATAATTTCAGTTAAAAAAACTAACTTTAATATTTGGTCATAATCATTAGCATTTCACTGCAATTAAAATTATACAGTGGAGTCTCCCCTTCAGAGTACCTTGGAAGAAAGGACTCCTATCTGCCACAGGCATTTTAGTTTCTGGTAACCTCATTTCTCTTCCCTGTACTATCTAGATAACATTTCAACCTCACCACCACAAAGATACAAATATTAAAGAGATAAATATCAAAGTATTCTGACATCTTAGCTAAATCTTACATCTTTCACAAGAGGAATGTGCTTTTTTGTTAGGATATGCTGAGTCATTTTATAGCTGGAGCAGAAGAAGGCAAAGAGATGTTATCCTGAGGGCAACTGTTACAGTGTTGCCAGACACACACTCACAAAAAAAAAAAAACAATGCCACCCCATGTCTAGCCAACTTCTAGGGAAAATTCCTACAGTTTATAAGTCCCTTCCTAGTCTCTATCCTAGGAAGGTATCATCTGTTATGCCACCCAAAAACTGAGGAAGTGGAACAAGATTCAAAGAAAGCAAGGGAAAAAAAGAGAAATCAGCTGAATGGAGTTTCTCAAAACTCTGGGAACAGTGAAAACAAAGGAAAGGCCTTGAAAGAGATCACCATTAGTAGAGACAAGTCAGCTACATGAGAACCTTCTGAAATGAAGAATGTGTTTTAGAGTCAAGGCTTTGAACCACACACAACTTAAAAGCACCAAAAAGAAACTTTACCATATCTCTATTATTAGTAAAGGCACTCATCCTCAGAACCCTCTGTAAGGCCAGAAAAATCATATATATATCTGATATATATATATCAGATTTTTCACTAAGCTGGCTCTATGCCTTGGATATCCATATATGAATGTATTATCCTTTTGAAGCACCGTGCGCAAAAAAAAAAAAAAAAAAAAAAAAAAAAAAATTTGTCATGAAAAATATTCTAAAGTGTGAATTAAAACTCAAAATGTTTCTACTAAAACAGATCTCTCAATTTTACATAGCAAATCGTGGAGCTATATCCCATTCCAACCTTTCTCCAAAGGGTATGAATCATCTATAAAGCAAATATCAATTAAACCATATCACAGATGTTAAGGAGCTAATAGTCAAAATAAAGAACCACCATTCAAAATATGATGTGAAACTGCCAAAAATTGTAATGTATTCAAAGTGCTAAAAAGGTAATAGGAGAATAAATGCCTAATTCTAGCTTTGTCCTTTCTGAAATTCACTTCTCCACCTTTACTTTTGATCTCATCCACTGTCATATCTTCTGGGATCCTGCTACACCAGCTAACTTTTCTTTCACCTGTTCAAACTCTGGCATTGCTTGATCTTTCTGTTCAACATTTATAGTCATACTTAAGCTTGTCTACAATCCATAGCAACTAAAATATAATACTCTAAAAGTTACATTCATTCTATTAAAAACTGAAACTAATACATATACATATTTTTCTTATTGTTTTCTTACATTTTTTATATTCATGTATTTTTAAATAGTTTTTACATGTTATGCTACGGAGCTAACTCTAATAAGAGTACACAATGGAACTAGAATTACTACTAACAATGTCATAGTGTCCCTAAATTGCAAAGCTCTTAGAGAATATCATTGTGAAGTGAACAGAAATATAATCGGTTTAAATACTTCTACTATAAAATGTAACACATAACTTCAATATTATAAAGACAAATATTGTTATAATCCCACAGTGTAATAAATAAATTATAGCTGAAATTGGTTTGGCTCAGTAAGGTCCTGGGTTCGATTCCGGTCAAAGGCATGTACCATGGTTGCGGGCATATCGCTGGTAGGTGGTGTGCAGGAGGCAGCTGATCGATGACTCTCTCTCATTGATGTTTCTAACTCTCTATCCCTCTCTTTTCTTCTCTGTAAAAAATCAATAAAAGTATATTTTTTTAAAAAATTATAAATCACTCCAATTAAATTTCTGCCAAATATTTACATATTTTCCTTGTGGTCCTACAGAGTTCACTGTGATTTCTTTTTTCACTAAAATATAATGGCTCCCCTATTAATTGTGCAGCAGTCATCCATTTACTCATTCATTTACTCATTCACAAATATCTGATATATCAACTACATGCCAGGTTCATTGATAAGGCATTGAACAAACTGAAAATGCTGCTGTCTTCTAAAACCACAATTAAAGAGATTTATAAAAGTGTAAAACAATGCCACTTTTCAATATTTTTGTCTTGGAAAATAATTAAACTTCATTAATTTTTATGTTCCATAGAATGAATTTATAATTATTACCTTAAAAGCTATCTTTTAATTCTTAGTTTTAATTTTAATATGGTAAGTATTGACATATATAATGCACAATAAAATTTTTGAGAACTCAAAAGAGTTCTTTTATGAATATAAAATAGACCTGATACGAAAAAAGTTGAGAATCACTACAGTAGAGTAATAAACAATTTTAAATATAGAGAATAACCATGATCACTAAAATGAAAAACAGAAAAAAATTATTTTGAAGAAGATAACTATATGTCATATGCTTAGTTTTCCTTAATGGGACACTTTATTAAGTTTTTTTTTAAATGGATCTTAAATTCATGAAGTTCTCTAGTAAAAGAAAAGGCCTATGGCCAACACAACATAGGATACACTAAGGATCCCCATATATAAATGCTGTTTTTCTTCTTCCTGTCATGATCCCTCTCTAGTATAACTAAAGAGAAAAGTAGTTTCCCAAGTCCTTGTCTAACTCTTAGAATTAAGTACTGCCTACATATTAAACATATTACACCCTGCCACTACTCTCCCAAACTCTCTTTCCCTTATTCAATTTTCACCATTGTGCTTGTAGCCTTCTATTATATAATGCACCTATTTACATTTATTTTCTGTTACCCTCTCAATATAAGGTAGACAATAATAGGATTTTTTCTAATTTATTCACTAATGTATCCTCAGCACCCATAATAGTGCCCAAGACAAAATATGAACAAAATAAGTATTTGTTGAATGAATCAATAGGTATTTTACTAAAGTCAGGTATAAATTTTGGTATCTTACCAGGGAAGAACAAACATGTCTTACCAAATTAAAACTTTCCAATGACACGAGGAATACAGTAGCCAATGAAAACACTCTCAGGGCGGGAACAATTTTCCCTTCTGCACCCATAAATGATGACAGGAGAGAAAAAAGAAAAGAGAAGAATCTATAATGATAAAACATAATATGCTAATTAAACTGGACATCCTTCTGGACGACCTTCTGGACGAAGCCAAGGCTGTGAGGGAAGCCCAGGTCCCGGGTACCTGCCAGAGGACAGAGGGAAGACTGGGTCCCAGGTGCCGACAGCCAAAGGGAACCCCAGATTCTGGGTGCCAGAGGGAAACTGGTGCCGGCATTGGGCCTCTAGTACAGCAATAATCTAAGCTGGAGATGAGAGAAATAGGTTTTCTCCCTCTGCTGGATTCCGGAAGACAAACAAAGAACAGTGAGAGTAAGAGCAGCTAACACACCTCTCTTCTCTTGGTGTATTTCTTCCAGAAGCAGCTCCTGCCTTTCTATCTGTTCCAGGAGACACTGGAGCTCGGATTCCTTGTTCTCAGTCATATTCCTGAGCTGCTGTTTGCACAGCATTAGCTCATGCCGCAGGCTTTTCTCCCTGTTTTCTCTCTCCTTCAGTTCCTCACAGAGCCATTGAAGTTTAGTCTAAAAAAAATGACATTTACAACTAATTAAAAAAATAAAGCAAGGTACAAATCTAGAAAACAGTAGTATTTCAAAATAGTAGGGAAAATATAACATAAGCAAATACAGACAATAACTAATAATTAAGCAGAATGAAAAATACACTATGGTTCACATCAGTTAAAAGTTGGTGTGAAATTAAGCCACTTTCTTAGATTTTTATGGAAATTTTGTGTAGTCTATCATCTTTGCAAAGGCAATACTACAGAAAAATATGGCCTACTAAACTTCTAATCTTAACACAATTAGCCTCCTAATTAGGTATATGAAGTATTTTAGTAAAGTATATAAAAATCACTCTGGAATAAAACTATATTTGATAAAAGAGGGTTTTATTTCAGAGATTCAAAATTTTTTTCCTATTTTTGCTTCCTAAAAATACACATCCCCATGTTCTAACTAATCAGATAGAGAGATGCTCCATAGGCTATGGAGATAAAGTCAGCTTTCCTCCACCTTGAAAAGCTGAGAAAAAGTAATCAGAGAAACTCTCTTTTTCATAGATGCTAATCTCACTACCTTTAATATTTAACCTGTTCTTCATATTTCCCTTTCCTATTTGCTACATCACAATCTTTGGCCTATGTTAACTATTACTAACAATAATAATGGAGAAACAGCAAATCTGTTTTGTCAGAGCAATAATCCTATTGGTTATGATAAAAACAAAATAATATACTTCCAAAAAACCTTCTGAAACAAAGCAATAATCAGGCATGATATGTTTTATTATGAACTAAACTAGAAGTCCAGTGCATGAAATTCATACAGGGGGAGGGGGCTCCCTCAGCTCAGCCTGCAACGACACCAGTGTTTTGGCCCTAGCCAGCCTCTGGCCAGGGGCCCACCCATTCACCCTCTCTGTGGGCCAGGGCTCACAGAATGCTAGGGTCCTGTCACCAGGGTGACGCCGCCAGAGTCCAGCATCCTGGCAGCTATGGGTTATGGGCGCCACCATCTTTGTGATGGAGTGATGGTAAATTTGCATATTAGATAGGATTGTGTCCTCTCAAAATTCACATGTTGAAGTTCTAAACTTCCATGTGACTGTATTTGGAGATAGGACTCTTAGTGTAGTAATTAAGATTAAGTGAGGTCATAAGGGTGGGACCATCAAGAGACACAAAGGCTTATAGCAAGTTTGCACTCTCTCACCGCTCTTTCTGATTTTCAGCCAACTTCTCAAACCATCCCATCCCACCCCACCCCTGTTTGCTGAAAGGTAGAATTCTACAAGTCAGAAACAGCGATTAACAAAATCAATCCTGACCCCTTAATCTTGGGCTTCTAACCTTTATTACTGTGAGAAAATAAATGTCTTTGTTTAAGCCACCAACCAGTCTGTGGTATTTTGTTATAGTAGCCTGAGCAGACTAATACAATATGACTATGGCTTTAATTTATTCATATGAAGCCTTTATTCCACTGCCAGACAAATTTTTAAAAATAGATTGTAGCTAGATGCTTTCTGTGAACTGAATATGTATGCAGAGTATATTCTTAATTCTACAAAACAAAATACTTAAGTTATGGAAATTTAATCAACCAATAATCAATTATGAGAATCAGTATCTGTTAGAAAAACACCCACCGTCTTTATTAAGTGTCTTGAAGAAACAGCTTGAAACATACTATAGGAATAACTTTAACAATACCAAATAATAATTAGCTGACAAGGCTATTAATCACAGTGCAAACACATTAACCACTCACAAGAGCATTTTATAGATTACATAATAGCCTCATTTATTTAACTACATCAACAAGTATTATTAAATAAACCAAAAGAGAAGGAATTTATCAGTAAGGAAATAGTTGCCTTATTTATAGTTGACAACTTGCAATAAGGTGGGAATATTTATAATTATCCATTAAAACAATCAAAATAGTATTTTTAATCTATAATGATATCCTTATTGATATTTAGTATAATAATATACTAAAATCATAAAGAAAGGAGTCAAAGCTAAAAGTCAAGGGAAAAAATGTTTTGAATAAAAAGAGTATTGCTAATAAAGTTAGCAATATTGGAATGATAATTATGATTGGCTAGATTCAAAATCCATCTAGCATCAGCCTCCACAGCAGCTTCTGTGTACCTCTTACATGTGTGTGGAGGAGCGTGGGAGGCTTAGTTGGCAAGTCTGTAAGGAGGAAATTCCAAAAGGATTTTCTAGGGGAGTTGGCTGAAGCATAAAGATTCCTGTAAACACCTGAGGGAGGGCCAGTGCTACACAGACTTCTTTGGACAGCCCCTAATTGTTCTTGACCTTTCCAAACAAGTCTGTGTACGCACTGGCCCTCCCTCAGGTGTTTACAGGAATCTTTATGCTTAAAGGTACTGCTGATGCCTGTATCCTCCCAAGAATGCTTACTTTTCTGATGGTTCTAAAAGTCAGTTTTAGCTCAAACTGTTGTTACCAAAAAGCCTGAAGAGGAAGGGAAATGAGACTATCTAGTCTCTCTAGCCAGGCAGACTCCTAGCCTCTCTTTCACAGCAAATGTGTGTCAGAGTAACCATTCATCTGTTGCTCAGGATCTGCTGGTCAGTCCCAATACATGTGATATTAAAATTATTTTCATAAGTGTCAGTTTCTCTAGACAAAACATGTTCCTCAAGAGGATCATGTCTTAATTCATTTTTATGTCTGGAATATACAGCATAGCATCTAGGACACAGTAGTTTCTCAGTAAATTCTCTGCTAAATTGAATAAAATTTGGTCTCTACACCTGCTATCAAGATTTATGACAGCTGAAACCAGTTTGGCTCAGTGGATAGAGAGTCGGTCTGCGGACTGAAGGGTTCCAGGTTCGATTCCAGTCAAGAGCATGTACATTGGTTGCGGGCACATTCCCAACAGGGGATGTGCAGGAGGCAGCTGGTTGATGTTTCTCTCTCATCGATGTTTCTAGCTCTCTATCCTCTCCCTTCCTCTCTGTAAAAAATCAATAAAAAATATATTTTTTTTAAAAAAACATTTATGACAAAATAAATACCTAATCCCTGTGAATTCCTTGCCTGGCATTCCTTAACCACCACATCGATCCTCTTCCACCCACAACGCCTTATATTGACCACTCATTGGTTATTTTATCTGTGAGCCTGGGTCTAACTCAAAGTTGGACTTCATGTGTGTGCTATGCCAACAAAGCAATAGTGACACAATCCCCACTCAGTCCTCTAGTTCTTTGGGATTAACACTAAAAGAATAAACTTCATGTGGCAGATTTATGAAAACAATTACCAAAGGCCCTCAGAGGTCCTTCTAATACTGCAAGATGTCAGCATGGACTAGCTGAATAGCAATTCCACTTTCCATACAGTTTTTGTCCTTTGATTTCAGATCTTATCTTCAATACTTATAGAGCTATTCACTCATAGTTCATGGGAATTACAGTACTGTGGCCCATCAATAACCCAAGCCATCTCTCCACAAATAGGTTCAATTCTTCCCCAGTCCGCTGGTCAGTGTGGGGAGCTTATCAGGAGGACCCTTTTACGCAGTAAAGGAACAGTTGTCTCATGCAGTATTAAAACCTGTCTGATCAGAAGTTCAATCCCATTAAATGATAAGGGAAAACTGCTCACTAGCTCCCAAATTAAAGAGCCGTGATCAAGAGTCATCTCTGGCTCTCATAATTTAGCTGAACAACAGCAGTAAAAGTGTTCTGTTCAGAAATGATAAAGATTTTAACTTGAAAGAAAATTCCAAGTACACTGCTCTTGTCAAAACTGTGGAGTTTTGAAAAAGAAAAAAGATAAATGCTTTATTAATGTACAACAGAAGTTTCTAGTCAAAAAAATCTAGGACAGCAAAATATGTATAGTCTAGATTTCCTATGCAGGTGGCATAAATGCAGACTTGCATTTGGTTCTATCAAAAATGGTTAGAACAATTAGGATCACAGTTCTTAAAGCAGGATAGAAATTTTACAAGGTTGGATAAATTTCTATTTTTAATCATAATATTTTTAGTTTCTTAAGAATTTTTAAAACAAATTTGTGTCTTTTTTATGTTTTATTGATTTCAGAGAAGAAGGGAGAAGAAAAGAGAGATAGAAACATCAATAATGAGAGAGAATCATTAACTAGCTGCCTCCTGCACACTCTACAATGTGGATTGAGCCTACAACTTGAGCATGTGCAGCTTGATTGGAATTGTCCCTTCAGTCCAAGGTTCAGTGTTTTAACCACTGAGTCAAACCAGCTAGAGCTTAAGAATTTTTTTGAGGGAGCTTCTCTAATGCCTATCTGGCCTTCAAAGGTAAACCTTGTCTGTCCACCACCTCCCACCTGTACCTTACCCACCCATTCTGAGCATTATTCTGTGTTTACTCAAATATTTGCATTTTATATTGATAATTTTTTTGTTAATACAAAATTTTTGTATGGCCACATTTAAATATAACACAATTGTAGAAGCCCTCTGAGACATGCTGGCAGCTTCACAGCCTCCCATCCTCCCAGCACAAACATGAGAGTTCTTCCTTCTCTTGTGTTCTTCTGTCAATGTTGTCATTTTCTACAATATAACACATCTTAAGGAGACTTCAAATTTGTTTACATCACCATTCCCTCTGATTAGCTTCCATGGCTTACTAACACTTACATCCCCAGTGTCTGCCTGTACACAAAAATGTACACAATCAATAACTCTTGGCTGAAAGAAGACTTTAGATTAGTGGTTCTCAACCTTTCTAATGCCATGACCCTTTATACTGTTCCTCATGTAGTGACAAGCCCCAACCACAAAATTATTTTCATTGCTGCTTCATAACTGTAATTTTGCTACTGTTGTGAATCGTAATGTGAGCCGCGGCTCTCAACCCACATGTTGAGAACCGCTAGCAGGGTCGCCTAAGACCATTGGAAAACACAGATATTTACATTATGATTCATAACAGTAGCAAAATTAGTTATGAAGTAGCAACGAAAATAATTTTATGGTTGGGGGTCACCACAACATGAGGAACTGTATTAAAGGGTCACGGCTTTAGAAAGGTTGAGAACCACTGCTATGGATGGCAATACACATAATGGTAAGAACACTGAGTGCACATGCCATGTGATCCATTTTCCCATTCTGAAAAAGTCACACTCTTCTCTGAAACTTCATTTTTCTCATATTTTTAAAAAAGGCCACTGTACAAACTCAAAGGTTCTTCCTTTGTAGTAATACGCTAAGTTGGACCCCAATTGGTCAGGTTTACAGTATAGTTGGTTTTCTTATAGAATTTAAATAGGATGGAAGACTTTGCACTTTATGTTAAAGCTGAAATAAAACTATTAATAGTCTAAAAATAAATGCAAGTTCTTAAGTATTGATACTGAAATAAACAAGTCCACATCATATGTGGTCATAATTTTCTATATATTTTAATTTCTATATACCTAAATTTCAATAATTTAAATTTCCAAGCTGATCTATGAAGATAATTGATAATCACCCAAAGTATAGAATATTAGCAAATTCTCTAATTTTATTTATTTTTGCTTATCTTCCATTAAACTTGCAACATAATGCTAAAATACCATGAAGCAAGATAGTTATCTTCAGAACTTTCAGTTAATTCCTCCAACTTTGTAAATAAGGAAACAGGACACCCAGAGAGGTGAAGGGATTTGCTTAGGCCAAAGAGATTTGACAGGTTTTGAGAAATAAAATTTAAGAAATAAAATACAAGTATATATGTGTAATGAAGGGTGGTAATAGCTGCCCTGACCTTTGTACACTCCAGAGACATTGCTTTATCCAAAGGAAAAGGCAGAAGAACTTGTCTCTCTGACGATCAAGTTTTAATATTTCCAGTTTTACCTTCCGTTTTTGTCCCATCCCGTCCCTATACATTTAAGCTAATGTTTCAATGTTAAGATAAAGGAACATGGAAACTTAATAAATGCATTATGATAATCTATCTCAGCAATAAAGTACTACAGCTTCACATGTTCATTATATGACAAAAATATATGGCTAGCCCAAATAGACACCTTGAAGTTCATAAACGTTATGACAATTTTAAGATTCAAAGATCATTTACCTTGCTTTCTGCTAACCAGCGATGTGGGTCATAATTAATGTCAGGACCAGATGAAAAAAACTAAAAAAGAGAAAGAATAGTCTATTAAAAGTGGATTTTTCTCTGAAATTTACCTAAATGAAAATTTTAGGATACATTCATACCAAGTACTCAATTCCAAAACATGATTTAACATTTCTATTTATGTAAATATATATGTGTATGTGTGTATGTATATATATAATGTTTTATATATATGTATATGTACAATGTAAATATTTAGCTAAAATACAGAGACATGAATTAACTCTCAAATGCTATCATTGCTAGAATCTCTGGAAGCTGACTCCCAAGAAGCCTCGATTAAACCAGTTTACTTCATATTTTGCTTGTTTCTTTTCCTCAGAATTGCTCCTAGCAATATATTTCACAGTGGGTTTGATGTAATTACACAGAAACTTAATTCTTTGTCTCATTTATCCTTCTTTAATTTTATACTATGGGGGCCATTTTGTCTCATTAATGATTGGTGTAGAAATGATAGAAACTAATCATGGAGTCATCCTTTTATATCTCATGATGATAACAAAATCCCACAATAAGTAGGTTGTCTATGCCAGCTGCCCTGATTCCCTTCACAGCAACTCATTTATAAACTCACTGCCATCTGTTTCTGCATTATTACTGATAAAACTGTACTCAAAGGTTGTCAATGATTTTACAATTGTAAATACAAAATTTTTTCCTCAATCCCTACTTTTGTTGAACCTGTGATATTTTTGCAGGTCTTCTTTCTAGAAATGTTCTCTTAAAACTATCCTATCCCTCTACAAAAGATATCTATTCCTATTCTCTAATACTTCCATATTTCCTTATGTGGGAGCACATCTCTCCCTTAAAAAATATCATCAGGTAATTCATTCAGCATCTGAAAAATGGTAATGAGTGCCAACCACATGCCATATATAGGAATGCTGTGTTCTCATAACCAACCTTTCTCTCATCTACTATCTCACTGTCTAAACCCCACCCAACTTTCATGCCTTCTCTCCCTATATTTTCAAGGAAATTATTCCTAATCACTCTAACTCAAAAAAAAAATTGGCTTGATACAATGCCTATCCTCTTTTTGCTCTACAAATAAATGAATACTCAGACCAAGTGTTACAGGAAAGCTCCTGAATTATCAAAGACTGGTCTGGGAAAATGATATATCTTCAATTCAGACATTTTCCTGTTTTATAATGGTGGTGGTTTATTAAGTGTCTGTTCTTGCGTTTTCAAACACTACAGTCATTTACTAAAGTAGAATAGGTATAGTGACTGGAAAAAGAAAATTGTAATTAGAAATAATACCGATATCCCCGAGGACTTTTCAACAAATGGCAAAGAATTAGAATTAATCCATTCTTTAAAACATTTTACAATCACAGCCACTCTCCCATAGATCTCTGAACTATAAAGCAAAGAATTGATCTTCACAAACACCCAAGAGTGGTTTCTTTGAGGTGAGAGTAAATGTTATGTTCTTGGGTATTCTTTATTTTTTTCAAGTTTATAGAAATTAAACAACAGAAGGTATAAACAGAAAGAGACCCACAATGGGGGGGGGGGAGAGAGGAGGGGGGAATGTGGTCTTAAAAAAAAACTGAAAAAATGTCCATTCTTTTAAATTTATCTCCACCCATCACGTGGATTGAATTAGTCTCTAAGAGAAACAATCATTCCATGACTGAAAGCCTATTGAAAAATAGGATGCTTTTCAGAATATGTTAGATAGAAGGAAAATTTAAGCAACCATAATAAGGTTTATATACTTTATAGCATGATCCAAATGTTTCCGTTTTTATATCTCTACTTGACCAAAAACAAGTTGTCCTGACATAAATATTTAAATATAGAATAAATATTTCCTTGGTAACGTATGACTCTTTTTGATACAATTAGGATTTTAAGGCCACACATCCTTTAAATATATGTAAACACAACAAATATTATATAAATCAGCAGCATTAGACAATAAAATTTAAGTAAACCAGCATTATAGCAGGCCCCATAACAGGACTAAAAGAGTTAGTTTTTCCATGAAGCAAATTACTTCTCATATTTGGCTCACAGTCCTCTTAAACTGACATCTTATTTATTTCAAAAAAGTACAGATAAATAGATATCGTAGAAATTCCACCAACTCCACCAAATTCTATCAGTTGAAATATTTTTGTTAGTTAAATCCTAAAACACCTTGCACTTTATGAGTAGAATTACAGTTTTATTTTCTTTAAAACACCACTTAAGAAAACCAAGGAAAAAAATGGTAAGGAAAAGCAGGAAAGAAAGGGGGGAGGGAGTGGGGAAGTACTATAAAACGGAATAGTTATTTTATATGAGGAAAAGGATGAATGACAAAAGAAACACCTGAAGAGGATTTTTAAAAAGCCCTAGTGATTGATCCTATAATTTTAGTAATATATCATCAAATGAACTAAATATAGTGGTAAATGATAGCTTGTCAATGCTCTCTGTATGTAATATAGCAGTACTAGAACCTAGAGTTAGCAGAGGTGCTTACTTTGAAGAAATTAAGGACACCCGTGATTACTTCTCTTTGTATTGATCATTTATTTCACTAGGACTATAAATTGAATTGCAATCAATATCCCATTTTAAAGATAGAAAAGCTAAATTAAATATACTTTGTTTAAATGGGGAAGGCAAATAGCAGAGTGGTTACTTGATTAAGCTCCAGAATTAGACTCACAAGGTTTTTAGTCCTAGTTTTAGCCTTTAACTAGATATATGGCCAGAGGCAAGTTACTTAACCTCTCCTAGTCTTGTTTTCTCTTGCCAAAAAAAAAAAAAAAAAAAAAAAAAAAATGGATTTAATCAGAGTACCTACAGCACTGGGTGGTTGTAGGGGTTAAGGAAGAGATTGTATACAACATACCACAGTTCCTATAATATAGCTAGTATTCAATAGATATTGGCCAGTAGCATACCAATAACAACAAAAATAGCCTGTGAAAATAAAAAATTCAAAATCCAGGCCTTTAGATTCCAAGAATGTATTTAGCCAGAACTGCTGCCTCTGTTGTAAGACATTTTCTTTTACAGTGTGAGACAGACAATTCAATGGAATCACAGCACATGTTCTCTCACTGGGACTGTGTAATAAATACAGTACCTCATTCCAAAAAATGCAAGATGTTATTTCTTTCATAAAATTTTCTCAAACAAAAATGTTAATACCATGTAACCATGCATTAAAATCTTTTTATAGTGATACTAGAGGCCCGGTGCACAGATTCATGCACTGGTGGGGTCCCTCAGCCTGCTCGGTGCCCTCTCACAATCTGGGTTCCCTCGGGGAATGTTGGAGAGCTGATTTCAGCCCCATCTCCAAAGGCCAGGCCAAGGGACCCCATTGTATATAAGATCTAATATGCACATAAGATCTCTGGTTAATCTCTTCCCACCTCCCTCCCTCCCCGCTTCCCTCTCAGATTCATCAATCTGTTCCAAGTTTCCATGCTAGTGGTTTCTACTCCTGTGTTGAGTGTTTGCCCCCTAGTGGTCAATGCATGTCATAGCTACTGGACGATTGGTTGGTCAGCTGGTCAGCCTATCAGCTAGTGGTTGCTTAGGCTTTTATAGATATAAGGAAACTAAGTGAAAAGCACAATGAGAACTCATAATTACTTTGAATTTCTCCATCGAGTCCCTGGAGAAGGTTTTACAAGCTGCATCAATTTCCTTTCCTATCACACCAAGAATGGATTCTTGTTCAGTCTCCAGACAAAGAAGTTGATCCTTGAGCTGCAATCTGGCTTCTTCCATCCTCCTTAAGTGCTCTTCTTCATTGATTATATGTTTCTCCTAAAGCATTCATAAATAAAAACAATTTATGAAGTGAAGGCAAGAAACACATGTACTATCTGATACAACCAACTTAAAGCAGTGCATTATAAAACAGTCCCTTTACCGAAATAAAACCTTCTGCCTACTCATTAACTGAGGTCAGATTATAAAGAATTCATGAGTAGGGCATTGAGGGAACTGGTAGTGGATAACTGACAAAGAAAAGTATAGTTAATCTGCAACCAAAAATAAAAGTTGAAAAAAAAGGCCTTATCAATTAATAATTTAATGTCATCAATAGATCAGAGTAAAAGCTGATACTATAAACTGACTTTGAACTACCAAAAATTTAGTAAAACTACAAAATGCAAAATGTCAAATAAGATCGTGTCAGTTTTTTCATTTAAGAAAATACTATGTTATAATCATTATGTCATCAAAACATCTTTTTAAAAAAAAAAAAAGTCTAAGTTTTCAAATGCAGTTATACTCCATAATTGCTTCGAGTCACAAAAATTTGATAAAAGCAAGATGGAGCTACTTTTCAAGTAAACAAATAGTATATTTAATAAAAAGGATTTCTACAAAGCCCTTTAACAGATTACAAGGACTTGGGGGCCCCCTATAGGCAGAACAATTTTCAATCATGATTACACAATTTCATTACTAGGGAAATTCAAGTTGTAAAGCTCAAAGCTTGGAAGGGGAAAAACAAAAATAGATTCACTAAAATTGTAAGTGTAAATGGTGGACCTCAAAGTCATGAGGCTGGCTAGCTTTGCCTTCAGATCTTCCAGAGAAGCCTCATCATCTTTACCTACCCTAACAAACACAACACATGCAGGAAGATTATGTGGTCAGCAAGCCCAGCTTGAATTTAAAATAACAAAGAGATGCTTTCAGTGAAAAATAAACAGGAAAAATAGAATGATATTTTAGCAGAATAATCACACATATTTCCTTTAAATTCAATTTTCATTGATTTTTAACATATTTTTATTGATTTCAGAGAGGAAGAGAAAGGGAGAGAGAAATAGAAACATTAATGATGACAGAGAATAATTGATCAGCTGCCTCCTGCATGCCCCACACTGGGGATAAAGCCAACAATCCAGGCATGTGCCCTGACAGGGAATCAAACTGTGACCTCCTAGTTCATAGGTTGACATCACCTATTGAGCCACACTGGCTACCAGGCAATTCAACTTACTTTTTAAAATAAATGAAACACTCTCTGCCCCAAAGAACAGTCCTTTCACAACTTGTCTTCTGCCCTTCTCTCCAGCCTCATCACCCTCCTTTCCTTTCTCTTATACTTTAACCTCTTGCAGCTTCTCAAATATGCCTCTATTTGTCTCTTCTGATCAATCTGATGTCTCTTCTGATCAAACTGCTTCAAGTTGCACTATTTCCAAAGGAACTGGATGAGCACATCATTCTGATCTGGACTTCAGCTTTAGGAATTGGATTTTTTTTTTGTACTCTAAGTTGAGTCATCTTTTAGCAATAGAGTAATATTAAATTCACAAGAAACTAATGTTCAAACTAGAATGCCACTCAATTAACTACATTAATTTACAATGAGAACCATAACTGCCATGTGGGTCAGAATACTCGTGTCAGCATAACCAGTATATTTTCTTCCTGTAGAGCAGTCTAGATGAGAAGGCATAGTCTACAGATTGTTACTTAATAAACAAAAAAATAGCAGCCTGGCATGTCCATCTACACATCAGGAACATACAAGCCACGATAACAAGTGTTCCATTCTCCTGGGCAATGTTTGGATGGAGATTGCCCAAATACATCTCCCTAGCTTTCTGCTTTGTCCACATTCAGATCCGGACACACTTTCCCTCCTGATTAATATGGCATTTCTTTATATATGTGGATATCTTGATCTCATCTGGGAGCCCTCCTGAAAAATTAGCACTGGCTCTGAGTAATATTTGATGATTTTGTAGTTTACTTACTTGAAAGCAACCTACTGTCAAGTCTCTAGGTGAGGATCCTTGCTTTTGTATTGTTGCTACATAACAAGGGCACACCAAGATCAATGCTATCTCTTGGCTATGGACTCCTTTTGAAAGAGCGCAACTTCAAAGAGTTGTGTCGGAGGAGCCACATGTGGATATACCTGCCATCTATACTTCTAATCCTTCAAAGTTTATCCTCAAGATGCCTTTCTTTCTTAATCACCCAATATAAAACGTTTCCACAGCATATTATTCATACCATAGTTTTTTTTTAAATGTATCAATCTGTCTTCTTCAATAAACTGCTAATTTCAGGAGACCACAAAACATATTTTTAATTATCTTTAAATTTCCCAACTTTGCAACATAAGTGATTCAAACATGTTTTGAAGCTCAGATCCAACACTGTAAAGATAATTTCATTAATTACCATGAAGAACTATACACTTGGAGGCTACACGGGTGTGCTAGGAGGTTGCCCCTACACATACACAGGTGTGATGTTAATGAAGTAAATACTCTACCTGGGTTACTGAAGTATTTAGAGGACAACTGTTCATAGTCTAAACCCAGGCAATTCACAATGGTATTCTCATAGATCTTTCTGTTCTCATTTTTCTCACAGCCATCTCTCTTTTACCAACTGTCACTTCTCTGTTATTTGACTATTATTAATAAGACAAAACTATTTCCATATTTTGATATCCTTAAATTGTTGATCATATCAGAAAAAGCCCTATAAATTCAATCTCTAGAAAAACTGAAAATTTCATTATTCAATTCACTGTCCTCCATGAGACTGTTAGCATGTCCTGTCTAATCTCCCTTTAAGTAAATCTCAGAACCATGAGCTCATAGAGATCAGAGGGTTCAACTACCTGTTCTTTCAGAAATCCCTTCTTTTACATATCTGACAGAAGGTGATCCAACCCCTTCATGACCAGCTCAAATTTCAATAAACCGAACACTTGACAAAACTAAAATCTCTCATTAGTCTAAGTGCTATATACTCAAGAGTTAAAGTAAGTAAATGAATCCTCCACCCCAACTAAGTCTTCTAATACTCCAGGTAAAAATACATATTTTTTTACTTAACGAGGGCTGCAGATATGGCCCCTTGCCAGTTCTCCATCCTCAGCATGTGCTCCAGGACTGTAGATCTGGAGCTAAGTAAGCTGTTCCATTCTGTACTTATGCAATTGTTTCATTTATTCACTCAATTCAACATTTTTTTATGAAAGACCTACTATGATGAGACATTCTTCTGGTTCTAGGGACAAAAGAATGAATGAGATACATAAGGCCCTTGCCCTCACTGAGCCAACAAATATCTCCATTAAATTCATCAGTTTTGTTTTGTTTGTGACTTGAGAATATCAATTTGTATACTAATGATGACACCCAATAAATTCACTCTTTCTATTCAGTTTCATGTTTCAGAAATAGCTCTTCCAGTGGAGCAAGCACAGCTACTTCTATGGAAGGGGTAGGAGGGTGTCAGGCTGACAGTAATCCAGGCATCCTGGCTGATTTGAAAGCATAGCCATTTATACATATAAAAGTCTAAGCGAACGTTACGACCTGATGACCGGATAATCCAACCACTGGATGACCAGATAACCCAACGACTGGATAACCTGACAACCAGCTATGATGCGCACTGACCATCAAGGGGCAGATGCTCAATGCAGGAGCTCCACCCCCCCACCCCCCCGGTGATCAATGCATTCCCACAACCAACCTCCCATGGCTGGCCAACCTCCTGTAGTCCCTCCCTTAAGCCAACCCAATTGGGACTAGGGAGACATCCCAATGGCTAGGAGGGACCCCACACATGCACAAAATCATGCATTGAGCCTCTAATAGATTAATAAGGGAATAGGAGAATATTTAGGCACTATCACAGCTATTCCCTGGGCTTCCAATGAATTCAAAGGAAGCAAGAATTCTACAACAAAAAACTACCTTATTTCTAGAGACCTGGAGGAAGGAGAAGGCATTTTAGATACTGTTTAGAATATGGAAGACACAGTTGGACACAGATACCTGGGTCTTGTAATTATAAGGGTCTTCTTTGTGTGGATAGATATAGAAGAAGCTGACCAAAGCGGTTTATATCATCCAAGAAGAGAGATCATCTTCAGTGTTTCCCAAAGTGTGGTACACGTACCCCCAGGGATACGGGAAGAGTTTGGTGGGGGTATGCGTTGCATCGGAGTTTGGATAAGCACTGCACCATGCTTAGCTGCACCTATTTCTACGTTCTCATGAGTACGAAGGATATTCAGTGTTACGAAAATTATAGAAGGGGTACACATGTGTCAAAAGTTTGGGAAACACTGATAGATCATGGCTGAAGTTGAATTAGAGAATAAATTTAATCCTAAATGTTACAATTGAGGAAACCAAAGTTCAGACAGACTAAGTAACTTGGACTAAATTCAAAGAGCCTACAATCCATACCCTGAGCCTCCTGACTCCCTGACAAGTTTTTCCTGTCCTGACTGGTGCTCTCTGTTAAAATGTTAGAAAGGTCAAAATTGTAAAACTAAACTTTAGAGAGCCAGTGTGAAAACCTGAGAAAAGTCATCGGCATATTATGTGGAGACAAATGTTGTGCTAAAGTAGAAAGAATAACTTAAAAAATATTTCTGAATGGACCTTATCATTAGAAAACATATGACATATTCAAAATAAACCATAAAAAGGGGAAAAAAACTAATCAAGCACACACAATATACTTTTAGGGGCTCTCCATCCTCTCTAGAGACATACCCTGTGTACACATAAAATCTGCTATTGGCAAATTTTAATTAGTAAGTGTACTAACCACACACTAAGTATGTGTGATTCCACTGTCTAGACAGCAAAAGTTTTAAGAAGCTTCCATTTCAGGACAGGAAAAGCTTATATTTATTGATATTTACTTATAAAGGAAATGAAAAACTATACTGCTCAGTCTCATCACACACACACACACACACACACACACACACACACACACACACAGCTGACTGACTTGATCAAGGGACCTGTAATTCA